TCACAATGCTGCCTGGTGTCATGAACCAGACAATCTTTCCATCCTTAATTTAGAAGGTCTAAGCAATTTAACCCTAGAAGTCGCTAAGGTTATTATTAGCTCTCTTTACTAAAAACTAGTACACTACTTAAAGCAACTATTAGTTATATTATTATTACTACTTAGCTAAAATAAAGTATAAGTAGCTAAAATTTTTACTTATAAATTTTTACTTATATAAACTACTATAAATATAATAGCTATAGTATATTAAAATTAGCTTCTTTATATAGACTTAAACTAACTTAAGTAAAACTTACTTTATAATAGCTATATAATAGCGTAAATTATATAAGCTAAAGCTAAGCTTTAATATACTTACTATAATAATATAGTTTACTAGTACTACTATATAAGCTAAGAACTTAATTTTAAGTAATTTAATAAAACTTAAATAAAATACTTTTATACTACTAGCTTTACTTTTAATTACTTTATATAGCTTCTTTATATAAACTTAATTATATACTATTTACTAGTACTATTATTTACGCTAAAAAATACTTAAAAAGTATTATAAGTATAAAAGTAAAATAAAAGTATAATTATATTTATTTAAAAAATAAAATTTTATAAAAAAGCTTATAAGTAAGTTAGAAGTAATAAAGAGAGACTATTAGAGGCTTATAAGTAGATTTAATTAATAACCTTAGCCCTAGCTTTGCTTAAAATACAAATATAACTACTAAATTACACAACACTTAGGTATAGAGCTTCTGTATGACGCCCCGCGGGCCCTAATGCACGGTCGCCGGTTGAACTCGCTTGCATGCAGGTCTCGGCGATACTCCGCCAGGCCAATCAGATGTCCTCATTCCCAAACCCCCTCCTCAAAGCGCTCGTTCCTTCTTGTCCGTATCCTACACGGTGCTGGGATTCTACTTGAGGTCAAGTTGACGCGGGTGCGCTCGATCTGCCGCATTAGCATGTCATGTATACGGTGGGCTGGCGTGTAGCAAGCCTCTTCGAAACAACTGGCTGATAGCACATCGGAGAGAACTCTCTCGAGATCTTCGGTTCAAAATCAGAAAATGCGCAATAGATCCGTCTAGGCCCATCACACCCGCATTTCATACCGATACCAACATACGCTCTCCTGCGAGCGCCTGAACCGTCGTTCAAGCGCGGGTTCGCAACGTCGCGAGATATTCTCTGGCGTGGAGCTCGCGATCAATTTTATGTTAAGATCGGCAGCACAGCCCCAATTTCGGGGTTAAGCATGCTGCATCTCCATTTCATCAGCAGCTGCCTCTGGGCCTTCTAGGAATGCGTTCGCTTGCACGAGCGGTCTGCACTGCGCTGTGCGTTATGTGAGCAGTGGCTAGCTAAAGGCAGATGCGGTGAGGAGTATTCAACGTTGCACACCCACTTTATCTCGATCCATGTTTTGTGTGGCTCGGATTGCGGTATTCTTTAATAGACCATTTCAAACCGTTCCAAGGTTGTTTTTTGTCGCAATACTCTCGTCCCGCACATTGCCGCTGTCTGCAGTGCCATCCCTTCTGGCAGCAATGCAAGGGCACCATATGCAGGTGAGCAGACTGCTCCAGGCGTGCGGATAATTTGGGTAAATAGCGTCAGGCTTAAAAGGGTCCAGCGGAACATTGCTTCTTACCTCCTATGAGCAGCACCGCATACATAGGCGAGTGTAAACATCTGGGCCTTACAGCTCACTACACGCTACGACACCGCCCGTCCAAGCTACTAACCTCGCTTCCTACGAAGCCAATGACCATTGCGAACATTCTCAAAGCACAGCATAAGCAAGTAAGCAGCATCGTATGCACCTCGTATCGGGCCGCGCAGTAAGCTCGGATTCCGACGTCCGACGTAACAGCAACAACGTGGCGACAGTTTGCTCTCTGGCGTTCTACTCCTACGCCCGCAGGATAGGATGCAGGATGGAAAAGACGGCACGCATCTGGATTTCACAAGAAGCTGGGTAATGCCCGAACAGGGCTACACGAGGTGCAGCCACGTTTAGCGTTGGCCCATCATATCGAAGCGGAGGAAACTTACTGTGTAGGCACTGCTAGCATCGGCCGTCTTCCGTAGAGATCCAGTCGAACCACGGCTCTGTACGTTTGCGACTGCATTGAGTTTCCAGGAACATCCAATAGGCAGAAAACATCGGCCATTTCTCCGCTCATGGGAATGTAATCCAGCATGCGGCACAGCGATAAAGTTGCAGCAGCCTCGCGACAATAACTGCCACTCGGAGGTTACTCTTGCGCGACGAGTGGCGACGGAGTACGGATCCCCACGCGTCTTTGTCCAACGTAGCCAGCTAGCTGGATTATTCTCCCGTTTACAGCAAAATCATCTTCCAAAGAGCACTCGACCAAATGTCTTGATGCCCGGATGTGGATGGAAGGATGAAAACTAGGTTGATCGTAATGAAGCTTAGTCCATTTCATTCCGCAACAATCATGTCCCAGACGTTACAAGACAGTCAAGTTCGAGCGAACCTTGACTTCGCTACCACAGTTACAAACTCTCGCGCGCAAGGTAAGATCGGAAGAGTAGGAACTCGCGTTGGGCCTGCCATCTTTTTTATTCTTGATGCTTGCATTGCTTTCCAAAGTCGCAGCTTTTTTCCATTGTCGCCCATTTGGTCTTCCAATCATCATTTATTTCCTCTTTCCAATCACTCTGTGGTCAGAAAGTCACGTGCGTTACCTATGGCATCAGACAACATCGTAGGTGAAGGCATTCGATCATTGATCGAGTATCATACCCAAGCGCAGCGCACACCATCAGCAGCGTTCATGTCGCGTCGGAAGTCAGCAGTCAATGTGATATCCGGGGTCGCTGCCAATCCGCATCCAGACTGAAGTTTGGAAGTTGACGGGAAGGTACCTTCCAGATTCTCGAGTTCACATCCTCCAGCATGCAGATGATACATTAACTGATTGGATCGAAGTTTACGTCTGCAAACCTCTGCTCGTTCTCTGTTTCCTGTATGTCTCCCTTTAATACACCCTTTGAAGAGATATCGTTAGTACGTTACACCTAAGTATCGTTCTTGACCTCGCGCATACTTTCAATTCCCAATGTGCGCGAATAGTTCCTCCCTTGGCGACGCGAGCCACAACAAAAGTCGTCCGGGTTGCCAATCGCAACCTCTGCTGGGTCGTCGATGCCGTCCCAAAGGAGAAAGAGCAAACACACCCCATCCTGCAACCTCATTGTCGGCCACCTGCCTACGTCACCATCCTGTGCTTGTCTATAGTCACATTTCTAGCATCTTTCCGTCGTACATGATCAAAATCGCTGAGAAGGCTAGTCGCATCTGCGCCACGGCACCCATGGTCTGTATGGGCGAGGTGGTGCCACGAAGGTGCCTTCCTGGGCACGCGCAGAGCACAACAACGACGCACGCTCTCGCCCCACAATCGCGCCTTCACCTTCACTTTCGCTCCTGCCAATCCGTCCTCTGCTTGTCGCCTGCCGCCGGAGCTAATTTCCGCCGTGCCTGCAAACGCTGCTCGCACGTCATATAAACAACTTTTCTGTGTCCACCTCCGTGTCTTCTGCTTCTCTCACGACACTCACCCCAAAGCTTCATCATCTCTGCAGCTGCATCAATCCAACACGAACATACTTCAATTCATCCCCACCACCAATCAGATTACCGCTATCAACATGTTCGGCTACAAGATCTTCGCTGTTGTCGCTGCGCTTGCGCTGGCTGTCGTCGCCACTGACCGTGAGTACATGCTTCAGGCTTAGCTGCAAAGCTGCTTGGATACCTCTACATGGCATCGGGCACACGATCTAACAACTTGCAGCTGTCTGCGCTCCCGCTGCCACCGTGACTGTCACTGTCACCCAGTGCGTCCCCGAGCCCGGCAAGCCGTCGTCTGAGCCAGTCCCCGCTCTGTCAGATGTCTCCTCTACCCCCGCTATGTCGGCTGTCTCCTCGACTCCCGCTTTGTCGGCTGTATCCTCTACTCAGGACGGCGGAGCGCCTGTACCTACCACTACTAGCGTTATCCTGCCTCCCCCAGGACGACCAGTTCCCACCACCAATGTCCCCGATGACGAGCCTTCCAGTGCTACTACTACGCCTGTCGTGACTCCCTCATCCTCTGGTCGCCCTGGTGAGCCCACAACCACTGCCGTCGAAACCGCTGGCGCCGCTCTCGCAACGCCTGTCGTCGGTATGGGCTCGCTCGTCGCCATGGGTGCTGCAGCCCTGGCTATCATGGCCTAGGCCCGTTCACACAAGGTCAACGTGCTATATTGAGCAGGGGTGTCGCGCTACACGTCGCGTTCTCAGTCGAAGCCGTTAGTGCAAGGTCTGGTATCCATGGGGCTCTCTCTTATTGTCTTGATCATTCTCTCAAGACCCAGATACCCCCATTCATGATTTGGTATTAATGTATTGGCGGCTTATCATCGGCATGGGGTGTCATCCTTCGTCGAAAAGCTGCCCCATGGTATTGCATGTTCATAGCCTTCCACGAGTCTAATAAAAATACTGACATTGCCATTACTCTTGCTTCCGTACCCTGCTTGCTTTGATGACTATGCCTTGTGAAGTAGCTTTCACACTGCGCCTGGCTTCCACTCCTCGAGCTACCACGGATGACTGAGTTGGTACCTTGTTGCTCGAAAGTCAGTGACGCCCTGCTTGCCTATCAGAGTGCTCCTTGTGGTTGATTTCGGGCACAGGGAAGGGCAGTGATGAATATCCTATCGGAGACGAATAGTACGTTCATGTGGATCGTTAATACTGGCTAGAATGAAGGCATGATGAGACCAAGTACGGTTCTGATGGAGTGCACATGATTATCAGTGGAAAGACATATCAAGGGCGGGGAGAGCGAAAACAGTGAACAAGCATAAATATGGGCTGCGATATCTTCTAATGATAGTAAGAATCCCCCAATTAGAGAGTGCATCATGCTAATATATATCGCTCGTTCCTCCCACTGGATGACCACTCAAACGAAGTACTATCCCGTTTGTTTATACTTCGTCCTCAACTCGTCGATCTCGCGTTGGAACTTTTCCATATCGTCGAGGATGTTACTTGAGTCGCTCCTTCCCTCGCCCTCCTTCCCACCAGTCAGATTTTCATCGAGACCCAGCTTCTTCTCGCTCTCTTCCATTGGCGAGTATAAAGCATATTCGTTCCCACCTTTCTCGTCTGCAGGTGCGTATTCCCTTCTCAATGAGCTTTCGCTGGCTACGCTCGTCCGTCTGTGCTCTGTGCTTGTACGGCGGTACTCCGTGCTCGTCCGTCGGCTTTCTGTGGGGGACGAAGAGGGTATCTGAGGTCTTTGCTGATCAAGGCTTGAGCGATTTGATCGGCGTCTTGGTGGAGGCGGAGGTGGCGGCATGTTGCTTCCAGTGCTTTCTCCAGATACATTTCGCTGGGTATTGCGATTGGACGATATGGATGAGGCGCGGTGCACACTCGGCGCGGGTGACGAAGGTTGGGATTCTAGAGTGCTCCGGCGGGATGAAGGGGGTTCTGGAACAGATCTCGGCGTTCGACCCGAACTTGAACGCTGTGGCAGTTCGGTGCTAGAAGAGTTCGCGCTTGAGTTGCCTATGTTTGCGAGTCGTGCGCCGTGTCGTGAAGGTGGAGGACGTGGTGGTGACTTTGCTCCAAACGGGTCGACGTTACTTGGAACTGGGCTTTGTATGGGGTCAACCGAGTGCTGAGATGATATCGTAAGGTTTGAACTGCTCCGCGATCTATTGCCTGTTGTCGTCGTCGTCTTGAGCTGACTCTGCCTACGGGCCAATGGCACGGGCGGAGGTGCCTTCTTTTGTCTATTTGTGCCTTCCGAAGGCGGTGAAGGCAGGTCTTGTGCTGGTGGGGTTGGTTGGGATTGTAGCGGGGTGGTATCTTGCGTGCTGATATGGGATGACTGCGGCGCAGCAACGGGAGTTGGGGGGAGCGGCTTGTTTGTATCCGAACTGTCTGTCCGTCTGATAGCCGGCGGTGGTGTTGGCTCTGTGGCTGCAAAGCTCTCGAAGGACACTGTCTGTGGCTGTCTCTGCGTAACGAGCTTTCCGTGTCGATGCTTGGGGGCAGGTGGGGGCTTCTTTTTGCCCTTCTTCACCTCGGAGACTAGCCCCATGCTCTCGTCCTCTTCCGAGTCAGCCATATCGACCGATGTACGTGGCGAGTCAGCGTGGGATTCTTGTATGGGCTCGAATAGCGATTGCCGGGAGACTGAGGAGGTATCCGTGCTACTACTGGTCTCGAATTGCGCGCCTGCGACGGGTTGTGATGCGCTCGTAGACTGCTGAGGCGGACCGGATGGTCGCGGAGTAGCCTTTCCGGTCAGGAGTAGGTTCTTGAAGCTCTCCACATCCAAGGAAGCTCTGCTGTTGCCTAGCATCGGTCTTCCCGTGTTCGTCCGCTCCTCCTCGCTCTCTTTGTCTTGGGGTTCTAACGAGGCCAGTGTTCTCGAGAATGGATTCGCTGGTACGTTACCCGGCGATTGCATCGCCAGCGGCTCGCCAAAGGTTGATCTCGGGTTTGGGGACGCGTCCGCTATTGCCATGGCGTCTTTCCCGACAACTTGGGCATTGGCTTCGCCCGCTGTGACAGAGTTGTTGACAAAGCCGGCGGGTGTTACGGGAGGCGGTGGGCTTGCAGGCCGACCTTGGCTCGATCGCCGGGCCATAAGCTCGTTCAAGGTCGCATCTGAGTCGTCAAAGATGGGCGGTGGAATCGTAGTAGTGGGCGAGAGAATGCGGACAGACTTCTTGGTCTTGCCAGTCGAGGGCGGGGCGGCATCTTCGAGCACTGTAAGACAATTACTCCTTGAATGCCAGCAGACGCAGAAAGGCAAGGCGAGGGAATACCATGGTCGCTGTCCTCCCTGCGCGCTTCAAGCACACTGCTATCCGTGTTGATGAAGGAAGTCTGCGGGACGGGCGCGGGCTGACGGGGAGCTTGAGAAAGGCGGAAGGGGTTTCCGGACGACATGGTGGGTGCTAAAAACAATGCATTATTCTATGTACATGGAAGGGGCGCGAGAGAAGCGGTGAGATGGTGCCGCGCAAGAAATGCTGTTGCTGATAGTCGGCTCTGCGACGTGATCATCGCCGATATGCAGGTGCTGGCGATCCGGCGCGGGACAGCGAACAGCCCCCACCATCGTACCTCGTACACCATGACGGCCCAATGAACCTCTGCTATCCATAAGGCACAATTTCGCCACCAAATTCTGTGGCCCTGTGTGTTCTAGAGCTCACGTTTCAATATTCGCTTTCTGCTACAGGGTTTGGACACTTCTTTACATTGTTTAGTAAACGCGTGGGCATCTTGCAGCGGCGTACCGCGGCTATCTATGTAAGGGTCTATCTCCACGGTACGCTAATCGACATACACATGCCACCCTGCCTGGCAGTCAAACCATTTGCGCGCCAAGTTCCCTCCACTCTCTGTCGGTTGGCTGAAAGCAACTCGAGCTTTCTCAATGTGCAGCCCATAGATGAAGTCGGACCGTGCGATATCCAGCAGCCTAGTCGCGATGCCTTTCTTTCTATGTTGATTCGATGTCCATATACGCGATATGCCCAAGGCCACCGGATCTGAATCGGTGCTGATAGAAATAGAAGAGCTATGGGGCGCGACAGCATCTCCGTGCTCCTGGTCGGGCGAACCAGTGGGGTCCAACACCTTATAGGCTTCCCAGATTCGCTCTGCCAAACATGCTCCTACACACTTATTCCCTCGAATGTATAGATATATCTTGAATCGATCGACGAGTGCCACGTTGGCTGGGTTCTTCGCCGAGGGCCGTGGTTTCGGTACAGGCGTAGTCCGTTCTGATTCGTCTGCCTGGGCTGTCCGACTCGTCTGTCCCCAAAGCTCGTCGTCTGATATGGGAACAGCAGCTAGCTCTGTGTTTACAACCTTCAAAACATCACTCGCCCGGTTGCGCATCGCCAATGTATCCTTGCGTCCAACCACAGCGATGAAGCTCCCATCACCACTCCATATCTGGTTCTTCCTAAAGCGCTCCACGATTGGCTTGGTGAAGTCGACACCCCCAAGGTTCATCGCATGAAACTTCTTGTGTAGCACCGCGTCTTCGGCATTCGACGGTATGTACTGCATTCCACATATCTTGCATGTTTTGCGCGTCTCTGAAGCCAGGTCTAACTGCATCTGTACCATCTGCTTCTTTTTCGGTGCTAGCTTCGGTGGGCTTTGCGCATTGTGACTCCGTTCTGTAAGGGGTTCTTTGGCGAGCGTGCCCGGCTTGAGTTGCTTCTTGAATATGGAAAAGACTGGTCGCCGTTTTTGAACGGGTGGAGGGGAGCTGCGCGGTGCTGGCGACGATGGTGGACTAGACCGAGGCGGTTCGTCTGAGAAGACTGCGGGCGAGTCTTTGGGGCTGGACGGAGGAGCGGTGGAGCTTTCACGCTCGCATTCGAGAGATGAAATGACAATCGTAGGAGCAGTATCCAAAGAGGTCAAGGTCGTCGTTTCGGTACTTTCGATTGTGGTCTCGACGCGTCTTCGTTTGGTAGGCGGTTCTTCATCGTAGAGTTGACGCTTCGTGTGTCGCGAATAGGTTCTGACAACCTTTCTGCAACTATGTTAGACATGCGACATATCTTCAATTTGATCGGCTTACTTTGCTCCGAAGGACGACATTACGGCGCTGTTGGCAAGCGTCGTAGGAACTGCGAGTGCTGGACCGCCCACGCGACAGACGCGTGTTAGCGCGCTGCGCTAGTGCCCGCCCATATGCACGACGTCACGCCTCGTCCTCTCACATGTCACCTGGTCAGTCCCAAACATCGTGTTCAAGGATATACTTCACAGTCATCAAGTCTTTGCGCGTCCTTTAAATACGGCGATACACTTGCATTGTTCTGGACTCATCAAATGGGCGAGTGTCGCTAGATCAGGCCACCGGTCGATATCCCAGCAGGGAAGGTGCGTTTGCTTCGTGCTGACTAGCCTTATCATGGTCACTCAAAGGGCATCTATGAGTCAACGGCCGTGAAGCAATCAAGCACTAAAAGTACACAAATATCGGACTCTCTCTACTGGCCCATCTTGATTCCTTTCTCCCGTATGCGCACATCTCGCCGCAGTATCTATCTCCACAATGGCGGAACAAACAACACTAGCACAGACGGGCACATCAGTTCCATCATCCATAGTGACTACCAAGCGTCTAATAATCCGTCCAATGTGCCTCGAAGATGCCCCTTCGACTTCCCTGCACGCCAACGACCCCCTCATCGCCAAGTATATGCGAGGAACTTTTCCCAGTCCATATACACAGTCTAGCGCCGAGACATGGATCAACACGAACCTCGCACTCCCATATCAACACCATTTCGTCATCTGTGAGAGATCAGCGCCAGGACTCGCAATAGGAGGTATCGGGTTGAAACTAGGCTCGGATGTGTACGCACATGCAGCAGAAGTTGGTTTCTGGGTTGGAAAGACGTATTGGGGAAAAGGTTATATCACGGAGGCACTGGAAGCCTTCACAACATGGAGTTTTGAGAGTTACGAGAACAACGGCCAACGATTGACCAAACTCTACGCTGGGGTGTTCTCTGGCAACGGGGCGAGCATGCGGTGCTTTGAAAAGAATGGGTACGTACTCGAAGGTGTACTGAGGGACAATGTTTACAAGAATGGTGAGATGAAGGATGAGCACATGTTCGGTATGAGAAAGGCAGACTGGGAGAGAAGATTGCGTGAGGGTGTCAACAAGTAGTGGAGTGAGGGGTAGCACCTGAAGTGGATCAGAGGTCTCTCAGATTTGGTAGTCTTTGGAAAGGTGATCACAGTAGTGGCCAAGACAGGTTGAGAAGTTTTTGATTCAAAAGCCAAAGTGCGCTTGAGGTAACTCAAGGACCTGGTTGGGCTATGTATGCTTGGAGTTGCATGAGCAGTATCTCAACCGGCACATTGTGTCTTGCTCTCTTCATCACGACACATTTCTCACCAGCGTACTTGCTGCCTTTTATCAGTTCTTGCGCCTTGTCCTCTCCAAGTAGATCCACCAAACTGTAGACCGCAACCTTTCTGCCTCGCCAAGTGGTGGTATGAAACTCGAGCTCCGGAAACATCAGGCGAGGTTGCAGACATGCGATGACAGGACCAGTATACCAGTGTGGTGAAGAGTGAGTGACTTCTGGGGTAGCATGTGGATCCAGCTTCGCCTCAAAGCTCTTGGTAAAGTAGGCTGACCACTTTTCCAGCTCAGCCATGTTCAGATCTGCCAGCTTTTGCATGTCATCCCCACGGTTATGAAGCGATCGGAATATGAGGACAGAAGACACGTCTTCGACGCACTCAATGTCTTCAGTCCGGGGACTCGCGACTGGAATCAATCGACCTCTGAATCCAAAGTTCCAGCTGAGCTTACTCTCTACTGTCTTGCGCATCACGTCCAGTATGAAGTCTGGCATGTCCTCCCTCCAGACCATCTTCTTCAAGCCTAGCCCGCCAAACTTTTCGGCCATGCGCGAGTTCAGAGCCTTTTCCCAGGCTTTCTTCTTGCCCAGTTGTACAGTAACCCGACGAGTCCCAAGGAAACGGTGTGGGGGTCCGAGGTGCTTCTTGTCCGTCGTGAGAGAGACAGGCAGGAGCCACGGGTCGTTAGTCGTTGGATGCGGGCGTGCGTGGAGAGAGGTCAGGAAAGCGCTGGGAAGGGAGATCATTGTTGCGCGACATTGACGGACTGGCGATGCCAACGCATGGGCTGAGAAATTAGTCTTGCATTGCCATCAAGGGACAGCATTATGCATACCGAAAGGATTCTCCCATAGTTTCTTCTGGAAAGGCGTGAATTCAGCAAAATTCCGTCGCTCTTTCGTCTGTTCATAGCGAGACCTTTCTTCTAAGGCTACCGGATCGAGTAATGGCGAAAGTGGAAGTTCTTTGGCTGTCTCGTCTTTGCGGAGGCGGAACGTTTGGTGGGCATCTTCGCGCGTAGGACCAAGGTCACCACTGCCTTTCAAGAGACGACCGGGAATATGGGCGGAGGATTGGCGGCATTGAGCCCGCGCCGGGAGTCTAGTGGGGCTCAAGCATGACGTCGGGCGACAGATCCATCTGCCTGGCATCAGGCGGGACAGGGAGCGACTGCGTGGTTCGTGCGGGTTGGAAGTATTGCGCAGGAAGAGCCAAACGATCGCATCGGACCCCCGGCTTGGCGCGCCGGAGCTGCGTTCACGCGGGGAGGCAGGAGCTCCCCGACATCACCATCATGGCTTCTCTATTACGGCGGGCTGCAAGGCCATCAACACTACAAAGCTTTACCAGACATGGCACGCGGGCGATATCAAGCCAATTCGGCTTCCAGCCACAACGGAGTCCACAGCAGCAGGACCAACAGACACCGCGCGCCATCTCGCTGCCGATACCCTACGTGACGGAGACTACTGTGAGCTCAGCAGCGCTACTATTCAAGAGCTAGCTGACTTTATAGGGTGGAGGCTGGAAAACTTCCGACATCTTCTCGCGTCTCCTGCAAGAGCGCATCATCTGCCTGAACGGCGAGGTTGACGACTACATGTCCGCCAACGCTGTCGCCCAGCTCCTCTTCCTCGAAGCCGACAACCCCGAGAAACCCATATCCATGTACATCAACTCCCCTGGTGGCAGCGTGAGCGCCGGTCTTGCCATCTACGATACCATGAACTACATCCGCTGCCCGGTCAGCACAATATGCATGGGCATTGCAGCCTCCATGGGATCATTGTTGCTTGCAGGTGGCGCCGAGGGGCAGCGATACATATTACCACATGCGCGAGTCATGATACACCAGCCGAGTGGCGGATACCGTGGCAAGGCAAGCGATATCGCGGACCATGCCAAAGAGATTCTCAGGATACGGGACAAGCTGAACAAGATATACCAGTCGCACGTTACGAAGAAGAGGACGCTGGAGGAGATTGAGAAGTACATGGAGCGCGACTACTTTATGGACGCGCAAGAGGCAGTGGACTTTGGTATCGTCGACAAGATACTGGAGAAGAGAGAGGCGCCGGCCAAGGAAGAGGAGAAGAAATAGGAGCACGAAATACCGAATAGTACAAGTAAGCTCATGACCAATTGTCATCGAAGTGTGTCTGCTATCGATACTGCGCCTGTATAGTAGCTTCATACCGTCTTTGGGGGCCAAGGTTTGTGTACCTTCTACGGACCATCGTTGCTTATTATAGATCACCGGAACCGGAACAGCTCTATCACACAATCGTCAAATACGTTTGCAGGTGCTGCACTCGAAGTTTCGTTACAATGGCATGTACATGTGCTGCAGTGGCTTCAAGTGGCTCAGATTGCTACGCCTCACCCCTGCCTAACCGCTACCAGGCACATTTCGGTCACGTTTCCAGGCTTTCCACACAACTCTGTTTTGTTTCTGCAACGAAGTCTTGTTTTCCAAATAAGCAGTCGTGATGTTAATACGCGCGCGCATTGTCGATACGTAAGTGAGACAATCCTGATCCTGGCGAGGCGCTGTTCGTTTCCTATGATCCTTCAACAACAGCTTTTATAATGCTCGAGAAGATGCGATTCCAAAGTAAAGCAGACGGAAGCACACAGCAGCTTTTGTTAGGTCATCATGTCAGAATTCAGGTTTGAATTTAGTGAACCACCGACCCGATCCTCGTCACCGGCATCATCAGTAAGCACGCAGCTTGGTGACGCAGATGCCAAACCGATGGATATACGCGCTTGCGATAGTCAAATTCTAGCGTGAGTATACAAGTCTTGAGATGACTCGCGTTGCTGACATACCGTAGCTTTGACAGTCCGATACTGAAAGTTTGTGTGGGGACAGGCCAGGACGCAGCAACCTTTTTCGTCCATGAAACGCTATTCACCTCCAGATCCGAACTCTTCAAGTGCGCCACTAGTCAGGAGTTTCGAGGAACTGAAGCGCATGTGGTAGCACTACCGGACGATGACCCGGATACCTTCCGCCTATACCTCAACCTGGTTTACACACATCAGCTAGTCACAAGAGGTACTGGCCAGTGGCTGAAGCTATGTCGACTATACGTCCTAGCGGAGAAACTACAAGACATTACATCCAAGAACCAAATCATCGACGGAATGTACGCATTCTTCAGTGAGATCGCCTGCCAACCTACCCTGAGCGTCAACATCTCGCGTATGCTTCCGGCTGCAGCAACGACAGAACTATATGAAGGCACATCCAAACAAAGCCAGGCCCGGGAGCTTGTTCTCGACTTTTACGCGGACTCTGGTAACGTATCCTGGCTTCTCAGCGAGCAGGCGAGGTTACCGACCGAGTTCATTTGCGATGTTGCTGTCCGCTTGTTGCAAAGGCGTGGCTATGTCTTTTCTGGCTTCCGGATTCGTCGTCCATCTGACGGCTATCATGAAGCCAACACATCCTCCCCAGGGATGGCCTGTGCTGTAGCCAGGCAAGCGAAGGAAGTCTCGGCAGATGAGCAGAATGTTATGGTCAGAGCTGTCACAGGAGCCAAGAAGAAATCTTGTGAGAACCTCCCAGAGCTCAATGGCGATGCGAAGGAACTGGAACTCGAGCTCTCTGACGTTGTAGTTGCGGATGTGGCTGAATCAGCAACCGGCCATACACTCCCGCCACTCAAAGGAATTGTGACAGAAGTGAGATGGGAGCTTGACAGATGGTAGGGGAGATTCTGGGGCTTCAGGTTTCCATGTTATCAGCGTTGATTCGTTTTCAGGGGGCAACAACGGGAGTGGTAACTTCCCCAGAAACGAGTGTTCCTACGTCAGCTTGTACAGCCCCCGCAGCAGGGGTGGCTAGAACATATAATCGCATTCTACAGAAATATTCGAGTAGAAGTATACGTTGTGTTGCGTAATACCTACTTGCTAAGATATAACGGTGTGTATGCAGCAAACCTCGTAAATGTGACGTGATATTTGTCCACCCCTTGCGACTGTCGTTGCTCAGTCACCAAATAGGCGTCACGACTCATAGGAAAAATGTTACGCATATATGTCACATTGTATTTGAAAATGTTGTCGCTAATCATAATGGGTTCTATCAATGACATGGTGGCGTAGAGATGTTCATATCACATGCCTGTAAGGTAGCCTTATTCCTGTTCAAGCGCTTTGAACACACTCAGCCAAGCCACTCCAGTTGTCGGCGACCCAAGGCGCAAGTACAACTGCCCTCTGAGCATCTCCTACATCGCCAGTACCACCCATCGCGCCTGCCAACGCAACAGCACCAAGCGTACCATTCGGCGGTGCGTTGCGCATCGCAGTTTCCTTTGCAAGCGTACTGGCGAACGCATCACCTCCAGCAGCGTCGGCGAGCTCTGTCCAGCCAGTATGTTTCCAAGGGGTAAGCATGACACTGCGACGAGCTTCATCTAACTCTTGCTCCTCACCACCTAGACTGACTGAGATGGCTTCAATAACCTTCTCCACGCGTGCCAACTGTTCGTCGCCGAGCTCCTTGTTCGTACGCAGTCGGTCCAGGTCATCTTTGATGGCTTCCATAGTTTCCAAGTCATCGTCGAGCACCGTCATGGCACCGATAAGTGTCAACAGACCGACGTGACCTTCGTGCTTCTCGATGGCGGTAAAGAGTTGGTCACGAGCCACTTGCTTCTCGTTCTCTCCGCCCTTGGCCCAAAGTACTTCGGCGAGAATGCAGATGATGTCTGGGTTGGCACTAGTTGCCTCGAGCGATGTTCGGAAGTACGGTATCGCGGCGTCGAATGAGCCACTAAAGTAGTGTGCTAGACCAGCTGTGAGACGAGCTGATAGCTTAGTCTTCGAGATCTGGTCCCCGGATAATGCGGACTGTTTGGTATCGCTGTCCAGTTCAGAGAGCAGATCAAGTGCTGTCTCAGCTTCTTCAACAGCCGATTTGAAGGACTCGATGGCGAGAAGGTTGCGGGCCAGGTCTGTCTTGGCTTGTGCAACCCGAGCCAGGGACGCCAGCGACTCTGACTTCTCATACTCTTGCTCAACTGTCTCGTTCACAGCTTGCAGAGCTACTACGGCAGCGTCGTAGTTGCCAATACGCTCTAGGAACAACGCCGCTAGATGCTTGTGCGGAATGTCGTAAGGTGCTTGTATGTTGAGCTGTTGGAGCGCGAACAGAGGTTGTATGAGGTTCGTGATGTTGCTGGATGACGAAGGCGAAGACACAAGGAAGTCGAAAGCCGAGACGGCGTACTGACGTTTAGTCAAAAGCAGTGACGACTCTGAAAGCTCGAATGCGTGAGTGAAGTGAGAGAGCGCCTCGTTGGAATCTCCGGTGAGCAATGCGATGATGCCTTCGCCGACCCATGCTAATGAGTAGTCGGGGTCTTGCGATTGTGCCCTTGAGAAGGCGGTGTGCGCAAGTTCGTGATCATTTTGTAACAAGTAAAGCGCTCCTAGGTTCGTCCAGGTGTGCACACTTCGTTCGTTGAGATGTAGGGAACGAACAAAGGCATGCTGAGCGACCTTAGGACTTAGTGTAGTCGTGATGACACCAAGCGAGTTCCAGAACTCCGAGTTACCGGCTTCTAGTTCGATAGCACGCTTGAAACACTTCATGGCTGCTCGAAGGTATGTTGTGAGTTTCGAACCCTCAATGCCTTCCTGCTCTAAGCAGACGTGTGCTCTGTACTCTGTCCAGCCTAGGTTGTACCACGCTACAGCCTGTGCGTGTATGTCATGCGCACAACTGGAAACTGCTCGTTTTTGTGCAAGTATTGAGGCTTTAAGCACCTTGGTAAGGGTATCGTCTTTGTCTGCGGAAAGTGCAGCCAGCGTATCCTGTCCAAGCCCATCGATATCCTTGTGTTCATCAAAATCGATGTTCATATCCGACTCGCTGCGCAGCACCTTCTCGATCAGCTCCACGGGAAACTGCTTGAGTTTATCTTGGACCCAAGTGAACAAACTGCATGCATCGCCAACAGCTTTCCATAGATTGAAAGCATCCGGCTTGTACTCGGTAATCGACATCGCAACTTCGATACCGCGGGTCGCGCTATCAGCAGCCTCGCCGAAGAAACCGGTCTCAACGCAATGCCACCCCTTCTCTACGAGAGTCTGCAGGAGTGCTATCGAGACACCAAACTCTTTCGGCCGAGACGCTAGTACAGCTTCGTAACCTGCAAGAGCTTCATTGAACTCACTCAACTCGCGGTTGACGTTGGCGAGCATGTACTTGGTGAACCACCCCTCTTGGTCAGACCTCTTCAAAACAACACCATCCGTCGGATTTTCTGCGTAATTGAACGCGCGTGATGCTGAGTTATATCGACCAGAGTTGTGGTAGCTCTCTCCGAGACCAACGTAGGAGTAGTAGTCATCCGGACTAATGCGTAGTGCGGATAAGAAGGACACGATACTCTTTTGATACTCTTGCTTGTTCATTTGGACGACACCAAGTGCAGAGAACGGCCAGCTGACGCCTTTCCGTTTCGATCCTGGTGTCTGTCGGGCTTTCCCTGAGTCTACCACTCGCTGGGACACGACCTCGACAATGTCCCACTCGCCTTGATTGGCGAAAAGGCGAGCAAGGCGCTCGGCTGCGACGACTTCAGAGGGCGATAGCTCGAAGGCTTTTTGGAAGCACTGCCGTGCTCGTCTGCGGTCCTTATTGTAATCTTCGTAGAAGATGCCAAGCAGAGTATACGCGGGCGCATAGTTCGGGTTTGCTTTGATCGCTGCGAGCAGCTTCGCATACGTTCCTTGGCGGTCCTTCCTCGCTTGCTTTGACGGATCGAGCTCCCATATACATACACCTATTCTATAAAGTGTCTGTGCGCGGAGCTCGCGGCCACGTTGCTTGGAGGCATCGAGCTGCGGGTAATCGAGGTACTCTTGGAGCCTTTCCAAACCGGTCTTGTAGTCGCCGGCAAGTGCTTGACACCAAGCTGATTCTGCACCTATGCGACCATTTGAGGGATCTTGCTTTAGCGCCTTCTCAAGGAATTGGAAGGCTTGCTCATATTCCTCTTCTTCTTCCAGGACCAACCCGATGCCGATGAGAGCAGAGGTGAACTGTGACTTGCGTTTCAAGATGGATTCGAAGATACCCTTAGCTTCCAGATGATTCCTCGGGGCCTGATAGTAGACTAAAGCAGTAGCAAGCGTACTACTCAATGCGTCGCGGGTTCTCTGAAGTGATAAGTCGGTCTTCTTTGCCTCCGCAGCCGCATATTTCAAGCCTTTCCTTGTGCTCTCGACCGCGCTTTCGTACTCCTCCAAGGACAGGTAGTAGTCTCCGAGCAAGCAATGTGCAAGTGGCGATCTTCCAGCCTCGGTAATTCCTTCAGTCATCAACACCAGACAGTCCTCCTGTGAGACTGGAACATCTTGAGTAAGAGCTACCCCACCCTCGCTCAGGTCAGGTCCTTCTCTTGAGTCGCCTTCTTCCACAAGCGGGTATCTTGATATACCGCTACTCAACCAGCCTGTGATGACTTTTGATAGGCCCTCGTTGGGAAATAGCTCAACGAACTGCCGCAATGTCGATATGTCGAGATCCAGCAGGTCGTGCGCACTGTCCGCGTGTGACGCCATGACAGCAATCCGAATTTTGGAACCCAGCCAATGCAATGCAGAACGCCGACAGATACTGTAACGAGAGGAATCCGAAGTACCAGAGTTACCCGAACGGGTTTATTGTGAAGAGTAGCGGCAAGGATATTGCAGAGTGGTTGACGTTGATGTTCGTGTTTTGGTAAGGCTGAAGCCCAGGATCGACGCTAGCATGCCGTGCGTCATTGCCTGCTCTTTCGACGCTGCGAGCCCCACACCAAAGCTCCAATTCACTCCCCATGGCACCTTCATAACACAAATAGCGCCGTACGGACGGCAACTTCCCAAACTATCGCTACCCAAATCAACGACATGTCTACGAAAACAGCGCTGAAGGCGGCGAAGGCGGCGATTGGTGCAAAGGATTGGGAGGAAGCGAAGAACCAAGCGACAGCAGTGCTGGAGAAGGAGCCCCCAAACTACTTCGCCTACCTGTTTCTCGGACGCGCCAACGACGGCCTGAGCAGATTCGACGAAGCGGCGAAAGCCTACTATGACGCGACCAAGCTCAAGCCTGAAGATCCACAGGCATGGCTCGGGCTAAGGGGCATGTACGAAGGTCTCAAGGGCGCGAAGGTTGACGAGAACATTGACGTCGGACTGGAACTGGCGCAGATATACATGAATTTGTATGTTTTGTCTATACAGGTGGAGAGGCAACAATGCTAACAAGAACAGGGACGACGCGCACAAGTCCCAATCCGCCATCGATAAGCTCGTAGACCACGCCCGCGCCCATGGTACCAAGACACAATATGCACGCGCGCTCAGCACCCAACTGCCGTCCTCACCCGTATACTCGTACCTTGAAGGTCGTCTACCCGACCCGTCAAAAACGTACACGCGCATCGCCGAGATCCACGAGACACAGGAAGCTTCCACAATCAAGCGGCTCATCGAGGAGAGACGACTTCGTATCGGCGCGACACTGGAGGGTACCACCGCCTCTGTTAAGAACGAGATATACGCTACTAGCCCGCTAGAAGGGATATACGAGGAGATCATCGACTGGACGGGCGATGACGAGCTGAGACGGGAATACGAGGAGAAGCTGCTGGCTAGAGCGTACGATACCTTGATGGTGCTGCCATCAGGAGAAAAGGCGGAGAAGAGGGAGAAAGTCATGAAGCTGGCCCATGACATGGTTGTGATCAAGCACCCGAACCTTCTGGCTTGGACAATCGAGCTGGAGTGGCGAAGCGGTATGGAGGTCGAGGCATACTAGACGATTTCACGAGATTCTGCATAGCAAGGCGTTTGGCTGTTCGATGACCGTTTTGGGGGGAATTGGCACATGAATGGGACCGAGTTCGGACCCCCTTCTGAAATATACGAACGTTTGCATTATGATAATCTTTGCGCAAAAATGTTTCCATACGCCAAACGCCACCCATGCTACCCTTGCTCTCTACGCGTTCGCCGCGCCTACGACCCTCTTTCTCTCCTCTACACTGTAAAGACTTTCGCCTTGTTTGAGCGCATGAATGAGCATCGGCACACTGCTCGCCTTGAAGTCTGGTGCTTCACGCACTTTGTCGAGATCGTCAGCGAACTCAGCCGCGATTTTGCGCAGATAGAGGGCGCCGAAATCGTCTTGCGCCTGTTGACTAGCCTTTGACGCTGCCTGTTTTGGTGGCGGAGAAGCTGGTACATCCATCATAGCGACATCTTCATCTGGCTGAGCCTCTGGAGCACTGCCTGTCTTGGACTTCTTCTTCTTCTTCTCCTTCTTAGCGGGTGCTGGTGCTGGCGCTGGCGAAACATCCTTTTTCGAGTCAGATCAGATCAGACCTGTTCAACGCGACACTCATACCTTAGTTCCTTCTTCTACCGCGGCCACCTTTTGACTCTTTACACTTGAGACATCGCTGTCACTTTCGCTCGATGATGAGACTGTCCAGTTGTCAGCGTATCTCTTGCGAACTATTGAACAGCACTGCTTGTACCCTCAGTTCTCGTCCTTCTCTTCTTCGACCGCTTCTTCTTTTCGATACCGCTTGCTCCTCTTTGCGCCGCCATTATGTCGTGTTTGGTGGATTAGGAAAAAGTTCGAGATGTGAATGTTGGTTATCGATAAGGCACGTGCGCCGCTAAATCAAGGGTCTGCACTTTTACTAGCCGTGTAGCCCTTGAGTCCTCATCTCTCTCGGCTCATAGCTTCACGGGTGGAACCAGAATATTGTCGAAAAGGGATGCCTGTCCATCATATGTTCGAAGTTACAAGTTTGACGATATGTATGCTACGCTTGCCATACCGCGAGATGCAAGTACCAGGGCTCTATCTGAACTAACTCCGAAACCCTATCCTCCAGCCTCTTCTACAAGATGCTCTCTATCGTAGCAAGCTCTTCCATGGCACTCTTTACGCTCGTCTTGATCGCGTCGCTAACTGGAAAGTATGGACGCCTGGGGTTGAGCTTTCCCTCTGCGCCCTCAATACCAGCAGCTTTCGCACTGTATTGACTAACAGCGTGCTTTGTTGGAGCGATTCCAGCCTTGATCGGGCTCTCCGCAAGCGCCGCCTTCCGGTGAAGCTCCAAGGCTTCTTGAATCTTCCCAGTAGTATACCACTCGTAGACCTTTGAGCAGACCTTCGGGAAAACGTTGCTAAATGCCGACACGCACCCTGCACTTCCGACCGCAAGGCCAGCAACCAACCAATCCGCTTGGCCCGCATACGTAGAGAAAGTATCGCTTGGCAGCTCAGCACATAGCCTGGTTATCTTCGCGACGCTGCCACACGTCAACTTTACGCCAACAATCTTGCCAGGGTTCCGTTTTGCGAGCGCGGCGATCGTGACAGAATCAAGGTCCACCCCATTGCAGATACCCGGGAAGTTGTAGATGACGATAGGCAACTCGGATTTCTGCGCAACCTCATCGTAGAAAGCCATGACAACTTCTTTAGAAGCTGCTGGCCCATAGTACGCCGCTGGTAGCAAAAGTCCATAATTGGCTCCAGCCTCAATTGCGTCGCTAATGTTCTCCATGACTTGAGGTACAGAGAAGCCTGAGATGCCGACCATCAGAGGGTAGTCGGGGCCGACGGCCTCACGAGCACATTTCATCAACGCTCTCTTCTCATCGCGAGTGAGGAGAAATGCCTCAGCGTTAGAGCCAAGAACGACTAAACCAGTAAGACCCGATTTGGAGAGATATTGGAAATACTGTTTCTGTGCGGCGAGATCCAAGGTCGCCGTGTCGCTTTCGGGAGTGTAGAAGGTTACTGCGGGGCACCATACGCCCGGAGCTGGAGGAGGAGCCATAGCGACTGTAATTGTTGATAATAGCTTCCGGGGAGGGTATGCTTTCTGGGTCGACCTTGGTGATCAAAGCGGGGAGGCGGGGTGCAGGTGGGGTAGTAAATCCGGCAATGGAAACCTGCGAGCGTTTCTGTAATCAATACTTATTTCAATGTTCAGCAGCACATAGGTAGTAATATATGAGATCTGAGTTGAGAGGATACGAGGTGGCCATGCACCATCGGAGTCATGCCATGGGCCTTCAATAGCCGCTGCGCGGAACGTTCCGACTATCCCGATACTCGCATTTGTTGAGCCTCATCTTCTGCCAATCTCCACTCTTCCAATAACGGCCTTCAGATAGCGACCTTTCTCGTGAAGACCACCGAATACATTTGGAGATGTACCACTATAAGAACGCCTTGGGAGTGGCCGGTCCACCCATCACCTCCCCTTCCTAGGTTGGCCCCACTGCTTTCAGTGGTAGACTGGGCCGCTGCTGCCAATCGGAGACCTATGAAACAACAGCATGTTTCTCGGCTCGATCACCGTCATGAATACAGCCATCTTCGATAACGATGAGAAGAAATTTCTGTCGGCATGTTCGACTATTCAGGGCAGCATTACGACCGATCTTCTTGCTCTACTTGACTCAACCCTAGCATAGGCAGATCCCAGTGTCCAGGCTGATTGCATATGTCTATTCCAATGAAAGAATCTCTTATCAAGCGGGCAAGATGTCGTCTACGAAAAGTCATTAATGTCCCCCGCCCCCGCGAAACCCATATCAGCAGAAAAGGACTCATGCGACACGATCAACAAGCTCCTGACTTGGCGCATGCAACGACAGTCACGATTACCAACCCTAAGAACAGGCTCCAGAAAATACTCATGGCCGTATCGAAGAAGCACAGAGGACGATTACACGACGAACTCGCACAAAGGCTTCATCAGGATGTTCGCAACGCCCGAAGCATCGACATATCACGTACTATGGATGTTCCTACCCCTGTTCTCGTACCTACACAAGGGCAGAGTTCATCGTTCTTATTGATGCCTGCAGAGATTCGAAACGAAGTCTATCAGTATCTCCTGCCGGATGTTACCAGCCTGCGAGACGTTACCGGTCTTCTTAGCGCTTGCAAGCAGATCCGTCAAGAGTTTTCCAGCATGATAGTCGCCGAGAGCCAGTTAGTCATGAACGGCGCAGTACAGAAGAGCATCGATATGGTTCAAGTCGCTTTTTCCACTACTGAGATAAATACGGTCATCGGCACGCCCCAGATTCAGACGCACTCCCACCTTCATAACGTGAAAGTCCGTCTCGGAATGCGCGATACACGCTCGCTACCTGCCGACGCAAATGAACCACGCATATACTTCGACGACGTCTTCGCCTCGTTCCGCGAATTACTGGGCCTACATCTACCTTACGTTACCGTCAATGTCCCTGCCGCAATCGCCAAAGACGCCAGTATAGCCGATCCCGAACTTCGACATCGCCTGCTAGACGCATGCATCTTTACCTTCAGGGGATTGGAAGAGACTCCAGGGGTCACATTGAACGTGCAGCACGTTATATTCAAGATTCAGACTCACAAGTGGGATACCGCGGCTCTTATACATGAACCTGTTGTAGTCTTTGTAAGACGTATCAACGAACAGAAAGAGATTAAGTTTGATCTGCTTTGGAAGGACCCAAGGACGGAGAGCCAGCAAAACTCCACAGATATGGCAATGATGGCACAGTTGAAAGATATCGTAAGGAAGAGTCGAGAAGCTACTTTAAGTGATCATTAGAGACGCCACACAGAGCTGCATACTACTGGCAAGCAACGTTGGAGATGCGAACCTGTGGCTGATAACTCCTAATCGCTAGGATATTTCTGAGAATTTAGTTCATGGGAAGCGACGCATATTCCGTAATAATTACAAACAAATTGACTTACCTTGGGTCGCCTAATGATATCCCCACAACAAGTACGAAACTGGTCTGGGCTCCTTCGACATGTGGATTAAAGAGTTTTCTCGTTGCCATCTGACCAAGTCTAAACGTATGGGTTCCAAGGCTGCCCTTTCGCATGGGTATAATTGTATTCTTTGCCGCCAAAACACCATCACCTACCACTGCCCCTCCTGCCCGCCTAAACTCTGAAACTAGGGAATATATCGAGATAGGTCGCGCGGTTAGCAGAATCGCGCGAGGAGACTCCGACTCGATGACCAGTGGGTACAGCAAGTCAGCTCCTACCCAGGACGGCACCAATCGCCTCCTCCAATTGCCAGGCGAGATACGCAACACGATCTACGAATACGCACTCACCGCCAACCATCACGAGCTCTTCTATCGCGATTCGATCGACTTCGACACCATACCCCAGGCAGTGACCGAAGAGGTCAACAGTATAGACGATATCTGGCACGCAACACCCCAAGAATGTGTGGATGCGTATTACGAACATGAGTCCGCGCAGGGCGTAAAGCTGTGTTCTACCGCAGAATCTACATCCGAGTTCAACCAGCTGAAGTACGTGTGCAAGCAACTCTACAAAGAGACCAAGCACTTGTCACTGTTATACAACGATATCGTATTCGCCCAAGACAACGTATGCGCTCAAAACGCTACCCATCAGTTCATCCGCTTCGTGCGCCAATGCGACAAGTCTTGGACTTCTCAAGTCAAAACTGTGGAAATTCGACCATTAGTTCGCTCCAAAGATGAACGAGTGGATGTCGGAGGCCTCATCGTGAAAGGGCACTTCGATGAGTTGCGCATTACGTTAGCCGACCCCTGCCATAAGCTAAATCTCCTGGCCGACTACTGCATCGAAAATCCCAGGGTGCATGTCCGATTCCGTTTATTGGCATATGGACCATTGTGTCTTATGTATCATGAGGCAGCGCTTTTTCAACGTCGACTTCCCTCAGTCTTCTATGGAAATGGGACCTGCGTACCTTTTGGCAACCATCTGCGTGTTGTCAACGACCATTGCAAGACTCTAGCTGTTCGGCTGAGCCAATGTCGCAATTTTCGGTTGTTCCTTACCAAAGAGGAAGCGTTTGATGAGCAAAAACTTAGGAGGTGTATGGTAGAACATAAGTTCTTTCGCAGACACATCTTACCGCTACGTGATGGGGGATTGGAGGAATGCATCGAGGGTAGGAGGAGTATCTTTCTTGAGGGGGTGTGATTACAGGTAGTCTTGGAGAGGGCGGATGCGATGTATTAGTAATAGAAGGACATCTGCGCTTAGCACAAGGCATCTGCTCGCTCAAACATGATTCCTTCATTCGACGATTACCAAACTACATCCTTAGATCTTGATACCTTCCAAAATCGGCTTCGCCTCCTCACTCTGCCACCACCCATCCTTGCCACCAGGGAAGCTAAACCGATCCATACTCTCAGGCTTCATCTCAACCGAGTAACCAGGATCCATAGGAGTAACATAGTAACCGTTCTCAATCCTGGACGGGTGGAAAAAGTGCTCATGCAGATGGTCAACGTACTCCAACACCGACTTCTTCCCCGACACGACAACGTAGTCGATGGTGGAAAGATGCTGTGTGTACTCTGGTAGACCGACACCACCCGAGTGCGGGACAATGGGGATGTTGAACTTGGCGGCCATGAGGAGCACGGCAATGACCTCGTTGACACCGCCGAGGCGGCAGGCGTCGATTTGGCAAATGTCGATGGCGCCGGAGGCGAGGAATTGCTTGAACATGACGCGGTTTTGGCACATTTCTCCTGTTGCGACGCCGATGTTGTATGGCTTTAGGGCTTCACGAATTGCTTTGTGGCCGAGGACTATTGGAGTCAGTATTTGGTTCTCTGTAGCATGGGTGATTGGAAGGGGTACGTACCGTCATCAGGGCTGGTGGGCTCCTCGATAAACCACGGCTTGAACTCCTTCAACGCCTTCATGTACTCAATTGCCTCCGGTACACTCCAGACTTGGTTCGCATCGACCATGAGCACATTACCCTTGTCGAAACCAATGATCTCTCGTGCGATGCTTAGACGCTGCTTGTCTTGCGCGATATCGCTTCCTACCTTGAGCTTGAAGTGCTTGTAGCCCTTTGACAGTGTCTCCTTCAGAAGACCACGCATCTTGTCTTCACCGTAACCGAGCCATCCCGCAGAAGTAGTGTATGCGGGAACAGCGCGGCTATCAAGGGCTTCTTGGAGTCGCTCCTTCTTACCGGCTTCGGCTTTGGTCAAGATCTCCAGCGCCTCCTCGGGGGTGATGGCATCGGTGATGTAGCGGAAATCGATCAAGTCGACTATTTGCTGGGGTGTCATGTCTGCAACGATGCGCCATACAGGTTGGCCGAGTGATTTGGCCCAGAGATCCCAGATGGCGTTTACGACGGCACCGAGAGCGAGATGAATAACTCCCTTCTCTGGTCCAATCCATCGAAGTTGAGAGTCGTTTACCAGGTGACGCCATGTCTTTCCCCAGTTCGCGACGAGTGAGTCGAGTGTGTGGCCCTTGATGCGGTCGGCAAGGTAGGCGATGGCGGTGCATACAATCTCGTTACCGCGGCCAATTGTGAAGGTCTGGAAATTGTAAGCAATCAAGAAACGAATGGATTCAGTGTTAAGTGGTCACAAGTTGGCCGGTTCAGGGGTACCCATGAGTTGGGGGAAGAGATGAGATGACCAGGGCGGAGTCGCCATAGTAGCTCATCTCTTCTACTCATAGCCAACATCGAATGAGATTAGACTTACCATACCATGACCCTTGAACTCAGAGTCTGTGTGTAGGATACAGTAAGCTGAAGAGTAGTCTCCCGCTGCGTTCATAGCATCGGAACCAGTCTTGTCAAGGGATGTCTATTGCAAACGCGTTAGATTCCTCTTTCTCTATTGTATAGCTTGAATGACTAGGGAACATACCGGAAACCGCACATCCCTCGTCTCCGCACCTGTGATTGTAATGGCCATTGTGATGTTTTCGTTGTGTTGCTACCGATGTTCGGAATGATCGGAATACCCCGCAAAGCTACCAGAAGTTGAGATTCTTTTCAAGCAAAACTTGAACACCAGGAAAGACGAAGATGAATGAAGAGGTCAAGGTGAAAAGGTTGAGCGAGATACTTATTCCGTCCGGAGGCAGGATCTAGACGGTCTATTTAACTGGCAAGGCATCCGGTACAACACTCCACGCATCTCCACGCCAAATAGTGCCAACCGCCCGCGCCATCGTGAATTCCACCCCACTTGCCCCTCATCATTCGTGGAAGATCTCGGCGCGCCACTTTCTGGGGCTGGAAAAATCGGGGCATTTGGCAACGTTGCCGTCATTTTATTTACCTCACACGTGAGCTGTACAGTGCTACACCCCACGAACTATAGGGGTCCCTTGCCCAGAACGCGGCTCCAGGTGCTTCGCGGCTAGGCGAGAAGCTTGGGCTTGACGACGCGTGACAACGCTTAGCAGCGTGCGAGGAGGAACTACGTGGAAAGCCGCCGTGATGACACGGGCAAGTAGTTCAATATGAAGCTTGTTCCTGACCTACTCCAACGACTTCTTTACGATCGTGAAGTGTGATCAAACACCGCGGCAAACAAGGCTTACCGGCCGCGGGGTGGCATAAGTGGGTTTAAGGAGTAGTCCAACCCGAGGATCATGAGTACCATCAAGGTAGACTCTCAATGCTGAACATCAGCAAAGCAGAAAGAGCACGCATGATACTTACGCCGCATAAGACTACAGCGAAGCATCATCCAAATTTGAACAACGGTAAAGGAAGAACGGCTGTGTATTAGTGGTGTGACAATCGAAAGTAAAAGGACGGACCTGGTATGACTCTCCATTCCAACCATACACCCATTATCTACACGTCGTTTCGTGATGCAAGATCCGAGGACCCTACAGCGCGTCAATACTACCCAAACAAGACCAAGACCTCCCAAATACTCACTCGCCCGGTTCGGAAGGAATGCAAGAGCCGTATCGGTGATGAACCCGAAAGGCACTGTCGAAGATGGATTGCTGTTCCACATGAGCAAAAAGCAACGTCCTCACTTGATACCCCTCTTCTCGGTCTCACTGTAGTAGATGACCATGCGCCAGAGCTTCTTCACGAGGGACTCAGCTTCGTCATCGAGAGCCACTTCCAAGTTCTCCACCAGGGGCTGCGGTGCGCCCTTGCTCTTCAAATGGTCCACGATAGCGTCGACAAGCATCTCTTCTTGTACACCAGTGAGCTCAAGAACCTTGTTGGCAGCCCACTGCTTGATATCCTTGTCGATGTTTTTCTGAGGCAAATGCTCCCAAGCGACGGGCCATTTCCACAGGCCTTCCTTGTCGTTGGGAATGTCGCGCGCCAACTGTCGCTGGGCTTCTTCGATTTCTTCTTGCGTAAGGTTGGCACGTACAGCCGCATCGAAGTTGATGGGCACGAGAGTTCGCTTTTTGGCACCGGATTGATCTGTGAGGTCCTCGTCCTCGAGCAGATTCTCGACATCGGCGGCGGTTCGACGGGGAGCGGCAGTCTTTTCGAGCTTCTTGGCGGCAGCCCCGAGCGAGATCTTGAAATGAGCTGGCTCGCGCTGTTCCTCCCTGCGCATAAGCTCTTCGCCTTGCTCCTCCAAGAAAGCATCGGCCTGGCCGCGGGCATGGTCCTTCTGCTTCCTCTGCGAGGCCAACTCGCGCCGTTCTTGTTCGCGATCGATCGCGTCTTCCTTTGCCTCCTGACCACGGACTGACTCGCGGTCGCGGATCCAGTCGCTGTGATCGCGGTAGTAGAGATCGCGTCTCGAAGCTGCCTCTTGATCATCGTCAAATTCTCGAAGTTGCTTCGCTTGTGCTGCACGAGCTTTCTCGCGCTCCGCGTCCATGTTCTTGAAGTAGTCGTTTGTACGCTCGACGGAAGCGAAAGTACGACGCTCGGTCTGAAGCCAGCGGGAGAGTTGCTTCTTGTATGCCTCATCAGCTTCTTCTGCTCGCTTCTTCTTGCGACGACGCTCAAGTTCCGAGTCGCTGGCGGAGTCATCGTCGTCCTCGCGGTTGATGTATGCGCCGTTATGTACGGCACCGCCATTGACAAAGTTGACACCACCTTGGTAGTCTCGGGGAAACTGTGAGCCCTTGGGCCCACTGGGTGCACCTTGAACACCCCGTTCTGCTCTGGGGCCCAGCGGTACACCATTGGCACCTCCGGGTCCAGTAGGGGCGGATGGTGGTGGGGATGCACGTCTACCACTACGCCTGCGCTCCTCGGCTTCAAGCTCCTCTTCTTTCAGGAGTCGTTCGCGATCGCGTTGGTTGGAACGGTCGCGGAAGGCAGCAATTTCTGCGGCGACAATTTCGCGCATCTCTGCAGGGATGTCCGCAAGCTCATCCTCGCCATTTGCAAGGTTGACGAATGCAACTTCCACGTCTTCGCCGTCTTGTGCCTGTGCATCTTGCATCATTGTGTCTCCTGCGTAGTCGACGTTGGGTGCGTTCGGCGGGTTGAAAAAGCTCGCGAGGACCGAGGAAAGCGCTTCTTTGGCACTGTCGAGCCTAAATTGAACCGTGGCCTCGTCTTCGTTTCGGGTCTTGCTCCATTCCTCTGCGTACTTGATCGAAGCATCATCCACCATGACGTGCAACTTGGTCGTCTCCACCTCGTCTTGTTCGCCGTCGTCGGTTTTGGGCTTGCCGGCCTTTTGACGCTTTGTAGGCACACGCACGTCTTTGAATATCTCGGCGGCTGTCTCCAAGCTCTGGGCGTCTCCAAATTCGGCGAACCCAAAC